TCCTGGCTGAACCCAGCACAACGTGGCAGTTGTGTAAGCGATCTGGGAAGCTAGGTGTGAACTTAAGAGTGTCCAACTGACCGCAGGCACTCCTACTACTGGATAAACCTCCCTCAACTTTTGGTGTTCAAACATGAAGCTTGGAAGTTCCTCTTCTCCCAGGACTATTCTTCCTGTCAAAGATCTTATTCACAAAGAAAATCTTGAAATTGGTTATTATTAAATGCAGTAATAATGTTGTCTGTTTGACAGCTGTCAAAGTGACTGCTCATGAGTACATTTTCAAGGTGGAATCCTTTATTTGCCTACAGAGATGTTGTTGTATGAAAAACCCCTCCTCCTCCCATGTAAAGCTAAACATAAGGAAACGCTTTCCATTCAGCTTCATAGAACGTCAAATAATACTGCCTCGTTTTGCAAATCTGAAAGCAAAATAATGAAACAACATGACAGAGTGACTGTGTCTTGTCTTCACAGGCAGAAGTCTACAGTAGATCCCCAAAAAAGAGGGAGAATTATTTTGTGGTTGATGAACTACTGACATGTACAAAATGGCTTTTAGTGGCGTCAGAAAGCTTATGAAAGCTTTCAAAGATCACGTTGCATGGAACTGCAGGAAATTGCTCAATATTTTCCTCATTTATTGCATATTTGTCAGGTACTAGATGATGTCATTCAGACACATGTAATAATACATTGATGTGGAAATGAAACATCTCCTTCCAACCTCTCTAACAACAGATACAATATTTTATATGTCTCTGTAGGTACACTTTCATATACTGACTTAAATACCATGATGTTTACCTCAAAATCCGCTGTTCGATTACAGCGAAGCAAGGGAGCTCTGCAGCATATAATATAGGCAACGACAATCATGAGCAAGTACGAAGGATGGTTGGAGAAGATATTGTCAAAGACCTTCAGCCATTCTTCTCTTGTTAGAACCTCAGAGAACAGTGTTTCTAGAAGAGGCCAAGCATAAACCTACATTATTTGGGAAAATTGACAAAACAATCCATTAGTACAATTTTACCATTCCTTGTAAAGAAATAATATAAAATTTTCTTGCCTTAGACCAAGAATCTATTGATTTATTAAAAAAACAGGAACTAAACCAGGGTATTTGAAGGTAAGTTTTATCACCCACTATAAACATTCAGAATTAATGTGGGATGATTATAAAGAAATTTCTTATTTCACTGTATGTCTTAATCTTCTGTTTAGATTTGTGAAGCTAAAATCATCCCTAACGATACACAGGGATTACAAAATTAATTCATCATACCTATGTCCACTTCAAAAAAATTAGAAGTACATTTATAACTTGATGAGTACATTTTCAAGCAATGTGGAATTGAAAGCAAAGGACTTCTAAGAACTGCAGTAGCCATGTATGTGAGATTTATGGACATGGAAAAGGAAAAGCTGCAGGAGAGCAATGATATATTCTTTACACTCCCATATAATTCACTGTTATTCAATCAAAACTCCATCAAAAAGGAATTACATCAAAATAAAAGACTACTGCACTATCATTCACTGCAGTACATTTTATACACAAGTTGGCTAGAATGTTACCTGTGAAGTCACGCTGTACTTTATTAAATGCTGAAGGAGTTCTTTGTCATGATGTGCCAAAACGTTTTCCATCATACTAAGGACATTAACTGGAGGATTGGGAAAATACTCAAACCAGTGCTGACAAAAATTAACTGAAAGAGAATAAAAAGACCAACACAATCCCCTGTAATCTGGGGTGATAGACTCTTGACAACCTTAAGGTTTGGTTATAAAGGCTATGAATTTAAGAAGTAGTTTTAGCAGCAAAATTTATTTAAGATATTCCCATCTTTCAGTGTTTATTCCTAAACCATTCCCACAGTACACTGCTCCTCCAGCTGCACTGGCATGAGTGTTTGTGTCAGTACACTGTGAACCAGACTGGGGACTAATCTGGCTCAAAAATAAAATGAAAAAAAGTATGTGTGCTGTGGGACAAAGTGGTTGGAGGCAGATGGGAATACTTAAACTGGCATTTGTGTCTCATGAAACTACAGCCTGGATCAAGTCATTTTTAACAGACCAAGAATAATTTCCGTAAACTCAGATACTTATTCACTAACAGCATGTGTTTGCAAAGTGGGTATGTATGCTGGGCAGCACATATATTCTGTACACTTAGTAGCAGCTGCAACAACTAATTTAAGTGTAAAGTACTTTAATTTAGTATGTATTTTTCAGAAGACAGCCGTAGCCAGCTTTCAGCCAAATGTCTAATTTTGAGTTAGGACATGCTTACTAAACACAGTAAAACCTTAAAAGAGATCATTCCTGTTTGACTGGGAGGGGGCGAGGGGGTGGTGTGTGTGTGTGTGGCTACTCTTCCTGTGTCTCAGAGGTTTTAGTTATGATGGTAACTATGCTAGATCCATTTGGTTTTACTGATTAGACTTCACAAATACTGTTAAAACTGCTAACTTTTTTTGCTAGAAACACTGCAAAAAGAAGTCTAATGTCTTGTTTTTATTTACAAGCAGGTTTTTGTGTTAAGCATACAGTAGCTACATATTAAATCCTGGCAACACCTTCAGCAGAGAGCCTGGTGACGTCTTAGGAAACACCTCACTCATTTCATCAGCAAAAGCTCTTTTGCATGGGAAAGCTTAAACGTGTTGCAGCATATTTGAGTTTTTAAAATCATTGCTTACCTACTACTGTAGCAACAACTTCAAAGCAGACCAGCTGGTTGTGCTGGAACAATTTTACAAATGGGAATGCTAGCAAAGGAATATAAGGCGTCTCAGCAAAGATAGCAGACCAGTGAGCTAGAGCTGATAAGGTCCTACATGCAAAAGCAAACAAAGGTGTAGAAAACATCGATCCGGGCCCAAACAAAAATATACTAAGTATTTTAGAACCACAGCATAGAAAGATTGTAAACTTTAAGATAGATGCAGGATTATATGAGTTATAAAAACAAAGTTGCAGGAGGGCACTACTATTTCACTTCAGAATTTTCCTTACAGCCGATTCCAGCTATTGGATACGTTTCATATCATTATGTGAAAATAAAAATCTCTAATATATAAATAAATACATATTTTACCTCTGTAAAATTCTCAGAAGTTTCCTACTTTTGATGGGGTACTCATTTTGAATATTCACAAAGGCACTGTGGGTACCCTTATCTATTAGGCTACTGAATGCTAAGTGGTTTTCAGGAAGTTGTAACAAGGAACGCCAAATAAACATCCTGCAATTAAAATACAGACTTAGTCAAGCAACTTCTCTGCCACATGCCAGCAAACACAAGCAACTTATTTCGTGCAAGCACGAACATGCACACCAACGTACCTGTACTTTGCTGGATATTCTCCAAATCCTTTCAGTAAGGCCCGCAGACGTTTCTTGTTTAATCCACCTGACAACTCGTTCTACAAAATGGGGGATCAGCAATAAATGTACGGATTTATCTTTCATAATCTCTTTCTTTACACTCTAATTGATGATAGCAGCTAAATATTGAAGTTCTTAACATAATATTAACAACAAAGGTGTACTGCTATCTGTTACATAATCCTTGGTATTTCAACAACAACAACAAAGATAATTCAAAAGATCATTCATCTTCTACTGAACTCAAAGAACAGCTACCATTGATTTAAGTCAGAAGCAAATCAGACATGAACTGGCTAAACTATATATAATTAAATGATGGATATAGCCAAATCATAAGGAATATTTACAAAAAGAAGAGATCATATTGTGATGACTGTTACAGGAGGATATAGGGGTGTGTGTGTATATATATATATATATGAGATTATATACATACAAGAAGCAAGATAAAGACAGAGAAAGAAGATGGCACAGTTATGACAAAAGAGAAATAAATGTAACAGTAAAGCATCTTCTAAATAATTAATAGAAACCAAACTGGCTCTGGTTTCTATTAATTAAATGGCAGACATTTTAGAAGTGCCAGTTTGCTAGCAGGGAAGCAGATCTGACCTAGCAATATCCAAATGTGTAAAAAGTAGCTCAAACAACTTCAGAGGTACCCCAAGCTGACTGGAGGCAGCTCTGGCTGGATCACATAATACAGGCATATAGGCTAAACAGAGAGAGAAAAGGGTACTACAACTCCCTTAATCACCTCTCTGTTCAAGCATCCAAGTGAATCAGGGCCTCAACTTATTCTTCAGGGTAAGCGCCTAAATATTTTTTTGCCACGAGACCTGAATGCTGCAGACTGGAGAGCAAAATATTTGCAACTTCTTCCTACCTCTTTATTTTCAAGTGATGTGTTCACTTGCGGTTTTAGCAAACTGGTTTGAATTTTGCTTCCTTTGGATTTCCAAGGCTGCTCTGACGTTCCTGAAGTTACTCTCATTGTCAGTTTATTTGCCTCTGACGTGCACTTAGACCAATCTTCTGCTACCGTGAACATGGGTGGTGGAGGCTAATATTAAGTGAAAATAACTCTGTTAACATCTTGTAAGACAGATGAATTAACACTATAATTTGCTGTTTATTTTATATGCCATATTTTTGAGCTTGATAGCCATAGCAATAAGAACAGAGACACATTTATACCAGAAAGGAATATATATGGATGTATACTCCTGAGTAAGTATGCCAGTTAATAAAACTCCTGTAATAAACTAGAAAGGCTGGAAGAAGGTTTATGTAGCTTCCAAACCAACTCAAACATCATGTTATTTCCTTGTTTAGCAAACACTAAAGTATAATTGGGATAGTATAAATGTCTATCACATACTGTTCAGGTTATTTACTTTAGGGCGTTTCTCAACGTCACTGAAATATTTTGCATTTCTATAGCACCAGTTAAAAAGAATACAAAAGACCTTTACAAACTTTAATTAGTCTTCAGTGTCAGAGAGGTATTAATTCAGTGTTGGAGATTGGGAAACCAAGGAACAAAGTGGATATCCCAGTTCATGTCAAACCGGCAGCAGAAGTGCAAATGGAATGCATGCGTGACATCTTTACACATCCTTCCTCAGCTCCAACTCCATCATTATCCAAAGCTGCTTACTGTTTACTTCAAAGACATGGTGATTAAAGATATATGGAATTCTGGATTTAGAAACCTGACTCCCATTAATAAATTACTTTAATAAAATAAGAACTGGTATTTAGAATGTTTGTTATTTAGGAAGGATTAGGAGTATGATTGTGTCATGACGGATGCTGGTATCCAGTAACACAGCAAGAAGAACAAAATCACAGTAACAAAAACACCATTCATGCCTGCACTTTAACAGAGCATCAGTTGCAAAACATTTCCTATAGGAAACGGAACAGAAACAGCACAATTATGCTGTTTCCATCTCCCCCAAACATCATTACAAAGACAAATTGGTCCATACAAATTGCTGTAGAAAGAAATACCATCTCCTCCTCCTCCTCCCAACAGCAGAAACACAGTGATATATATACTTCAAAGACATCATATTACCTGACAGGCTGGAGTAACTATGAAGGGAACTCTACAAACGACTTTATTTGTAGCATGAAATACGGCACTCCAACACGTCTGCAAACTACTGCTGACGCAAAGGTTACGTAGACAAGTATCAACTTTAATGGGATTTACTGCTGTTTTAAGCAATGTAAAACACACTACCTTATTTACTTCTTGAGTCAAAGCTTGGACACTGTATATATTAAGGCTACCATTTTCCATTACTGATGCAATATACCGTCCGTTGGGGCTAATTGCTGCTGTACTAATTCCCTCTTCATGACTCCCAATGTCAAAAAGAAGTTTGCATGTTTCTATATTGATAAATCTCATAATATTGTCTTGACTTAACACTCCAAGGACCTATAAGTTAAAGGGATTAGTCAATTAATATTGTCAGTGTAAACCAAAGAGGAATACCCAAATCAGCAATGACGTTCCATTAAGCTAAAAGAGCAACTGAGCAAACATTTAGCACAGTAATTTTCTTTTTCTGGAGCCCATATCCCCGGAGTCCCCAAAAAGCCCTCCAACTATATGTGTGGAACCAACTACTCCAGTTAAGCTTGTAAAAAACCTGACCTGATTGGAGCCCCCATCAAAACTGTCAGAGAGGAATTCCAGATGACGGACAGCTCGTACTTTTGCAGGCATCTGGATTATTCTTATCAACTGCTTTGATTCTAAACACCATAAGTGAAGATGATTTGATTTTCCACCAGCTACAAAAATCCGGCCATCTCTGGATCACAGAGGAGGTAAAGTTTCCATCAGAATACTAGAAGTTAGTATTAGCTAAAAAGAGAGAAATCATACATTTCCTTTTATGTCCTCAAATCACTTCTGAATCTGGCATTATTCCTTCCTGTCATACTCTCCTTGAAAGAAAAATATCAGCTCCTAAATAATAAAATCTGCTTTTGTAAAGGATAGTTTAAACCTTATTTTAGTGGTCATTAAAAATCAATTTACTTTATTTCAACTGCTATGGGACTATAATAAAAACTGTTATTGATCCTTGCTGAAAGTATCAGCCACAGCAGTTCAAAAGCTTATCACAGTATATAGCTCAAGACTTCCAGAAAACATTACAAATAAGGAAAGAAAAGCTGGTTTGAAACTACAATTTTGTAGTCCATCTTTAGAATGTTTGAAATAGCAATTTACCTGGTAACTGCAAAGACCTTATAAAGTAATACAGAACCTTCTACAGGAGTTGGCAACTGGTATTTACAGTGAAGAGTATCAAATTCCCAGGCAAAAACAGAATTATCTTTGAAACAGCTGAGGATGGTGTTACTCAATGGAAGAAAAAAAACCTGGAAGAATATGGAAAAGAAAAAATGTTGTCAAGGAAGTACCCTTTAAATTGGATCAAAGTGCATGGCAAAATAAAATACAGCAAGAAATCATGACAGCATGGCTACTACAGTAACTGCAAAATGCAGCTGCAATGAAAAGCTCAGACCCCACAGGCTGCGGGTCCCCTCCCTGGTTACAGCCCAGGCAGGCCTGCCCTCCTTTCCACTGGTTCTGAACTTGTTGTACCCTTTGCTAAGCCAGTTGAACTCACCAAAACGGTCATAAAAATAAGATTTGTGTCATTAAAGTCTCTTGTGGTGGTTTCTGATGAGTGCCAGAGAGGATGTAATAGAAACGGTGGGAATCTGAACCCAGGAGCAGGAGGGGATGGGAGACAGGAGCCAGAACTGCTCAGTCAGCAACAGCTTGTTGCATCTCCTACAAACTTCAGCATTCAAATAGTCCCAAGACCCTGCAAATGCACTCTGTGAAGCATTCATCTTTAGACTTAAACTCCTTAGTTTTATGTGCAACTATTAAAAGTAAAAAATATTGTAGAGTTTAGCAATGTATTCTCCATCTGTGAAATGCAGATTTTACTGAAGATGAAAGAAGATAGAACCAAAAAGCTTGTAAATATATTTTTTCCATTATTCTGAACATGTTTATTGTTTATGTGTAATCTCTTTCAAGAAGAAAAAAAAAGGTTATTTACATTTTTGGCTGTCACGAGGTACATTCTAGCTTAATGACAAATTATTGGTTCAGATCAGAGGTTCTATTTTGGCAGCAGCACATGTGGCTTCAGTGAATTCCCTAGAGCTTTAATTTTAAAGGTTAAATTGAAAATGTTTCCCTGTATCTGAACATTGAGGGACTACCTGAAGGACTCACTGGCTGAGATTTACAGTCAGTTCTACAAAGTTTAAAGTTTTGATCTGATTAGTCTCTCGGGGCCTTAAAAATCTGCAAATCTGGACATGTGGGATGGGTTCACCTTGCTGAATGTTAGTGACTGAAGTTGGATGTTCAGGCCTAATTAGTCACTTGACAGTGAGCAAAAGTTACCTGTGAGGAAAAAGTCATCTCACCTACCAGAGTCATTTATATTCAGACAGACTGAGCTGCCTGTCCTCTTTCAGGGACCCTGAGGAAGTCTAGACAATGAATTAAGAGCAGATGCCTATCATGCAGATGGAGGAATATTAAATTTTGGTCAACTGGAGTACTAAACAGTTCCTAATTTTCTGCTTTGCCCTAGAAAAATAGCACAAGACGGTCACAAGCAGCTGTTGAACAAGCAGTGATGCTTTGAAAACGGTCATTACAGATGTCTTAGCTCTTCTTGGTTTCTTTTCACCTGCCATTCTCAAAGGGTGCAGCTCAGTCTCTGTCTTTTTAAATTAGCTTTGCTGCGTACCAACTTAACAGAAGGCGTATGTTGGCATGCAACTGGGCTTCAGTAAAGAGGCACCAAAAAGGACGCTGCAGACTGGTGTGACACTACTACGATGGCTCGGACAGCAAGCAAGAATTCAACTTTGGACAATGAGTGTCAGGGCTGTGCTCTAACAATAAACATGATCTTTCATAAAGCAGTTACATGTATGTCTTAATTAAATCATGTCATGGGAGTATGTACCATTATCTCTATTGTAAAGACTGGAAAATGAAATCCAGATAAATTGGATTATTTGCATAATGACCTACCAGAAATGGTAAAGCCAAACCAAAAGTGCAGGCTCTTGATTCCCAAACAGTGATTTATTCATTCAACTATAGTCACTATTGTTTGGATTTAAAAGTTGTTTCCATACTGTAACAACCTGATCCTACCAAATTCCAAGAGCCATTTATCAATTAGATGCCCCTACACAAAGAAAAATACTGACCAGCAGAAAAATCTTGTCCACTGAAGAAATACAGCCATCTTGGGAGAGAAGTCATGACAATTATTTTAGCTACGTGCACTACACAACCATTTTAATAAAACAAACAAACAAATATTTATGCATCATCTTCCAAGGTAATTGCTAGATGTCTACTTCAGGCTGACAGAATTTCTGCTTGACCTAGAACAGGGTGAAGACACTCAAATGAATAGCCTTGTTCCCTGCAAAATCAGCACGGCTTTTTCGTGACCAGCCTGACGAGAACTTTGGCTTGAAGTGGTGTTTGTAAGACTATTCACTGCAGGCCGGCACGTGTGCGTGCGACGCTCCGGCACTGCGTCAGTATTTTCTGTAGTACTTATGCCAAAGTTTGACATTTGGTGGCACAGGCAGACCTCTTTAAACCAGCGTAACGCTAAGGCAGAACTATTTAAACAACTCCCTGACACAAACACATCATCCTTCTCATCCCCTGTTGTTCCAGTGTAAGTGTCTGTGCAACAAACCGAAGCAAAGAAACCAATAGGCTGAAAACCAGCAACTTCTTTTTGCTGAGTTATTTGTTCCTGCTTTCAGTGCTTAGTGAGCATAGGAAGAGCAGTAGCTTTGGAAGAAGCAGCGGAATGGGGTAGGTGGTGGTGACTGTTTGAAGTTACCATTGACACCAAAACTGTTTTTTTAACAACATGCTGAAATCCCAGTATCATTCAGGCTGGAATCAATCTCCAGAGGTCCCTCTGAGCTAAAGCAGGGCCAATATAGGAGATGGCTCCCATTTCTGGGTGAAACTGGGTTAGTCAAGGTCATATCCAACCAAGTTTTGAGCATCTCTAGAGATGGAGGTTCCTTAAAAGTTCCCAGCAGATCTCTGCAGCTATGGAGCTGCAACTATTCCACTGGTCTGGGTGACATGACAGGGTGACAGTTAAGGAGATACGTCCATGGACCACAGAAAAGATTCAGATGTATTTTAAAAAGTGTTTTCAAGTACTGTGATTTTAGCACGTGGTGTTACTCTTACTGAGGTATGCTTGTTCATCCCTGAGCAATTGCTCTTTACTCACCTTCTGTATACCCACAGACTGACGAACATTCAGCTTCCTTTTTCTCTGAAAGGTGTCCAAGTCCCACAGTTGTGCTGTATCAGCAGATGTAGTGATGGCATACCTGCCCGAGCCATGGACAGAGATGGAAGACACCGAAGAATCATGTCCCCTCATCCAACTAACCAGCTCCTTGGTTTCTGCAGGAGTCGATGAAAAAAATGTAAAGGATATGAAAGTCATTCCAAGTGAAACAACTACTACTTTACTCTTTACTGCCAACACTATGCTGTGTTTAAGCATACCTAATACACGACCATTTACCAACACAGCCCAACAAACAAGAAAGAAAGGGATCAGTCTTCAAATAGTTACTATATTATACTTTAGAGAAACACAACCATCTCCACATCTCCAAGTAACAGATTTCTTAAGGTACTCTCAGTCCTACACAGAAAGCCAACCTGCAGAGACTTGTGTGATTTAGCCTAAGAATCAGTCTTAAAAAGACACAAACACTGTGATCAGTAAGTTCAGCATGCCTCAAAGGCAGATTATCTGATGTGAACACCCACAGTAATCTCTAAAAGTTGAGACTGAACGTTCAGAATTAGAATTCTCCACTTGTTTTTACTTGTGAACAATAGGTATGGATGATTACGCAGCTGTTTACGGTTGCAAGGAAGAAAGGTTTAATGACAACAGGCTATGACTACAGAAAGGCACAGTCAGAGAGCGACACCTCATTAATTCTTTTAGAGTCCCAACCATTTTTATGCTGTGTATTGCATACTGAGGCAATGGTTCCTCTGACTACATTGTCTCCCACTTGTGACTGCATGACCACTAATCTTCCCTCAGCAACAAAAGTGCTTTGTGGCAATTACACTATTTACACTGTGTAGTTTGCCTGACAGCCCATGGGGTGGTTCCAGCTGACCCACCGCTGTGGCATCAAAGATGGGAAATGGCTATAAAGCAGCTCGTGAAGCCTAAGAGTCAAACTTTCTATGTGCTTACAGACAATTGAGTGCTTAAAGCTATTGTCAGATGGGATGATGACATGGGATTACAGAGTATGGCTTCTACATAAGAGTATGGCTTCTTCCTTGGGCCTACAAGGAGGCTGGGAGGGGACTTTTTACAAGGGACTGTAGTGACAGGACAAGGGGTAACGGGTTTAAACTGAAAGTGGGGAGGTTTAGATTAGATATCAGGGAGAAATTCTTCACGAAGAGGGTGGTGAGGCACCGGAGCAGGTTGCCCAGAGAAGCTGTGGATGCCCCATCCCTGGAAGTGTTCAAGGCCAGGCTGGACGAGGCTTTGAGCAACCTGGTCTAGTGGAAGGTGTCCCTGCCCATGGCAGGGGGGGTGGGACTAGATGATCTTTAAGGTCCCTTTCAACCCAAACCATTCCATGATTCTATGATTCTAAAGCAGGGGATGGAGCCCACCAACTACATATTATCCTTAGAGACGTATTAGATACTTTACCCGATACCCACTTATGTGAGCAACATTTATATTTAAGACATTCTCCAGTATGGCTTGGTATCTGGAAAAAACACCATATAAACATGCAGGGCTCTGTGGAATAATTATGATGATTTCTCTAAGTGCATCCAAAATCTAAGTTTGGTCTTACTGTGGTTGAAAGAAGGAGAGAAAGTAGAGGATTTCAGACCTTAACTATGACTCTGCCTCTATTTTGGGAAACAGTGAGTTACATCAAAATCTTCACCAATAATACCAGACCCTTAAATTGCAGATGAGTGATTCCTATGGCTTCTGAAAAATATTTAAATCCAGATGATGAGAGACACTACAACTGCACTTTTTGATAGGTTAAGATTAACTTATGATGACTGAATTGTCAATGCCTTTCACCATTTAACTTCTCATCAAGACAGACACACACAGCTGGCCTGTGAAGTTAATTTTAGATATCACTTTGAGTAAGGATACAGACCTACTTGCACACTCAGAAGTACTGACAGTTCTTTTGGTGTATATTGTCACTTAGTTCAAGTATTTTACTGCAAATGTAGTTAACAACTGGTTCAGTTGCAAACGAACACACTGTTGACTGATTTTAGTTTGATTTTACACAGAGCATATCATTCTAAGCAAACATGCAGAGTTCCTTTAATAAAGGTAACATGTAATTGCGATTCTGCGCTGGATTTCAGTTAATCAGGCGCCTGCATATCAACGTGGGAACAAGAAACTCTGACAAAGCAAAGGGTTCCTTTACCTAGAGGACTATAACCCCCACAAACCCAAATGACTGTGGAGTTTTTTTGGAAGAACAGATGGCATGAAATACCTAAGATTTCCATCAAAAAACTTGCAAAAATTTGAGACTGAAATTAAAATTATGTAATCTTTTTAGAACAATCCAAATAGCAAGCCTTTAAATTTCTCCTTACCTGTATCAAAGCACTTAATGGAATAATCTGCCAAAGCCACCAGGAATTCTGTCTTTCTGCGAAGATTAAATGCCAAAGCAGTGCAAGCCTGCATTGTCCGCTGGACAAGGCTGAACCTATTTAAAAAGGTACGTTCTCAGAGTGTTCGGAAACTTTCGTTCATAATGTCAAGTGGTGGAAGAACTTAATCAGTTTCAATATATTTCACTGAGAGAAAAAGATAACTCAAGAGAGCAAAGAAATAATATCTAATTATGATAAATATAAATATATTAAAAGTCAGTAGTGTAAAACTGAAGACTGATTAATATATTTCTGCAAAAGGCAATACTAGGTCTAATTTATTGTAATTCATACCTCATCTTACTAAATGAGCAGTACCTTTCAAAGAATAACTCCTTGTGGTAGTATTTAATCCCTTAAATTCTAGGCAATTGCTCCTTGTTCCGTTTAGAGTTACAAACTACTGATCTTTTGGATCAGCTAAACTAATAAAACAGTATTTAGGGAGCCTACAGGGGCATGCAGTTTCACCTCTGAGAAAACCACTTCTCATTTCCACATTCATGGAAAACTGAGGTCTCAATCAGACCTGTGGCATGCCGTCCAGGCAAGTTCCACACCTCTGAACAGTACAGATGTCAAGACAATTAAAATGTCTTCATAGAAGTACTCTTACCTGTTTCCATTCAAGTCAAAAACATATATATTCCCCTGCTGGTCTCCAGCGAGTAGAGAATCTCCAGAACTGTCAAAAGCCACATTCAGAAAACGTACTGTCTTTGAATGGTATCCTTTGACACCATGAATTATGTTTACTGTAACTCTGTGAACAAAGCAAGCAAAACAACCATGCTTAGAACTGGTTTATTATCACACATTGCTCCAAGATCTTGGATTAAAATGTTCCTAGTTTATGGTTTTACAATTCTAATAATTCATGGTGTTCTATGAAAAATTTTCCTGTGTGAAAAACACTTATTTCTAATATAAGAAATATACAAAATAAAGGAAGTCATTCACTATGTTGGAAGGTAGTTAGGAGACACTTAAAGCAGATGGGGGAAATCTACCATTCGTGACACTTTTATGGGGCTCAGGTTACCTGATTTTCAATTACACTATTAATGAATAACACTAGCATACATGCTGATGTATCATCTACCAATGTATCTGAAAGCCCAATTCAGCACTCAGCAAGGAACCTGGTTCTTCATTATCACTGTAAAGAAACATACTACACAACTGAGAAGCTACGAATTACTGTAAGAAACCACCTGGATTAGATTGGGGTGGGGGGAAAAAAAGAGCTTTACAACCACTTCTTTCCAGAGACTTCAAAAGCATGAAGCAAACCATGTTTATCATTGCTCCTCTGAGATATCACGGAACAAAAGTTGATGTTTTTTTCACATTCTTTGTACCATGCTGTTGGCATAAAATGGAGCCAGATGCAGAACCAAAGCCCATGTGCAGAATAAGCCGTAAGAGGAAGGTTTTTCCAGGAAGCAGGTTAAGATTTGTGTGATCTGTTACTCCTGGATTTTTTGGCTAACACTGAGCAACCCAATTATATTCTATCATCACTTGGATGCAAACTCAGAAACAAACTAAGTATCTGAAACTGTACAGGATACTGGGAGGTTGCTCAGAGTATCCTGCAAGTAGGGCACTTGCAGAAGACTGTGACCACGGCTATTTAAGATGATGGTATGTGTCCGAGACACCAATTACTAAGAGAGCAGATTACACAGCACAGCACCTGCAAGCAACTGCTGGTGTATGTTACAGACTGTGAGTGAGCATCAGGAGGGCTGTGCAGCCACACTACAGGCTAGAGACAAAAATAATTGTATCTCATTCTGTTAAGCCCATTCATTTCTGCGATAAGAGAGAAGTGTCATAAAAATGAAATTAAAAAGACGTTAAGCTACTTTAAATTGTAACTAACATTTAGTGACATTAGGGTCTTTAACGTCATAAAAAAACCCTACAAGCAGAGTATGACTTCTTATTCTAAATGTGAAATGTGAGTACTTATCGTCGTAGTTACAGCATCTCCCAGGACACCACTCTGCCGTTCAAAAGTTCCTTTGCCACTAACCTAACCTAGGAAAATCGTGAGGAATTCGTGGAGCTGCATCCAGATTCCCTGTGTCAATCAGCACACAGGTACTCCAAAGCAGCATTCGTACTACTCTTCAGATTGGGCCAGGCAGGATTTTCCTAGTGTTTCACATTTTAATCAAACAATTCGCCTATAATTTGTTCAATACAATTCAAACGAAAAATCTGAACTGGGAGAGTTGTCCAGGCCCTCGCATGTCTGAGCACGGAGGTGTCACAGCCTCCTCAGGGACCTGCTCCACCCTCAACAGGAACCTTTCTTCCCGTTACCTAACCGGGAACCCCCAGGCTGCACCTC